GAAACCCACTCAGACACATTTTGTCACTCATGCATTCTCTTTTATACCTTCCCTTGCCTCTTCTCTTTCCAGTCAATCCCAGTTCATATGCATATTTCTTTTGTGGCTCTGACTCTCTGACTCCCCACACTTCTTGCAGATGTTCTTCAGCCGCCATTAGTTTCCCCCTCCATGGTCAGAATGTGAGTTTTTGTTATTTCACTGGTTTGAGTGGAAAGCCTGCCATGCTGACTTGCTGCTCCCCTCATTACTAGCTGCCACTGACGTAGTCACAATTTGCTAATTGTGTTGTGTGATTGGTCATTTCAGTCACATGCTATTTTTTGTTTGTTCCCCAATTGTCTGATTCTCAAGCTCATAGATCTTTCAAAATCTGTGTATGAAATTTTCCAGTACAAATCCTCCTACATATAAATACCACCCATCTACCTCCAGTGGATAAATGATTTTGAACGGTTTTTAAAAAATTAAAAATGTTTAAAGTAAAATATTAGAGTGTCTTTTTAAAGAACATGTACCATTTTTAACTACCATTGCTTAAAAACAATCTACCTCTTTCTTGAATTTCCCAGTGTCACGGAGTCCCCGGGCGATGCTCTGGAATGGGCCCCTCCTCTGCAAAGGTGCCAATTGAAGGTGTTGGAGACAAAGGGATCAGGTGACCTCCTGGCCCAGGGAAAGAAAAAAAAGCCCAGAGAAGGAGGGGCTGGACGGGGGTTGGAGTTTGGAGCTAGCTGGGGACTGGAAGGGAGGGCAGACAGGGGTCTGCCTTGCTGGGCCCCAGAATGGACCCGGCAGAAGGGTCCCGTTCGCTGGACCTACAAGCTCTGTTTTAGACCATGTTCCTGTCATCTAATAAACCTCTGTTTTACTGGCTGGCTGAGAGTCACGTCTGACTGCGAAGTAGGGGTTGCAGAACCCTTTGGCTTCCCCAGGACCCCGCCTGGGCGGACTCGCTGTGGGAAGCGCACGGAGGGGCATATGCTGAATGCTCCCAGGAGAGACCCAGGAGGTGAAGCTGTGTGAGCTTCTTGCCCTGAAGACAGTCTGCTCCGAGGGAGAGGAGGCGCCCCAAAGCCCTGACTGGCTTTGTGGGGAGCAGTTCCAGAGCATCGCCCGGGGACTCCGTGACACCCAGATATACAGGTTATCTGGCTATGCAAAAGACCCATCCCACCTGCTTTCACTGGTGCAGTATTTTATGCTGTACAGTGTGACATGCTAACATACTCAGGTGTTCTGTTTAACATGTCAAGAGAAGAAATCAAAAGTGACTAAAACATATTATTTAATAAAAAATGTTGGGCAAGAGAACTGGCAGTATCTGTATTGGATGCAGGAGGAATAAACATGAGAGTACATGTGACACCATGGAAGAGTGTGGGCTTGACTGTGGTCTGCTAGGGCACATTCAAAGCTGTTGTGACTAATTTTACGAAGTGCCAGGGGCGGTGTAACTTAAGTTGAGTATGTCTGTTTAAAAGCATGATGCAATGCCCATTGAAATCAATAGGAGTCTTTTCATGGACTTCAGCGGGATTTGAATCAGGTCCAAAGGGAGCATAAGGAATGGCAAAACTGATTCATGGCAGGTGGCAGAAAGCACATGCAGCAGATCCCAATCAGCTTCTGCATTATAACACCACCATGAAGGTATTTTTTCCCAAAGACAAATGAGAAAAGTAGAAAAGATGTTTTCTGGATAGCATCCATGAACATCTTTGTTATAATATTAAAGGTGCATGTAAGATATTTGTGGACACAAACCACTTCAGTTTTGCCTTCACAGATGGCCTCACCTTGGTATTTTTGCTGGTATCACTGGGATGTAGCCAAACAACATGGCATTTAGATTGCAATTCATACCTTACTTGATACATTGATGTAACAGAGCACTCCACATGTCATGAAAATGTAGGTTTCTCCTAGATTCCACAGGTTGGTTGTGCCACTTAAATGTGTAACTTACAAGGGTCTCATATGGCCTGCACTACCTCACACCGCTGATTCTGATCTAGCCATTTATGTTTAGTTACTCCAGAGCATCATCAGAGAGCAAGTAATGGTTACATATTTCTGTCTGATGAAAAGCTGTGCACTCTGCCCTCTTACTTTCTTGATTTGTGCTTGTTTCCTGTTCCTCCATTAAAACTTCTTTCTATCATCAGGGGCGGCTCTAGGCACCAGCAAAGCAAGCACGTGCTTGCGGCAGCCCATTTGCAGGGGCGGCAGGATCCAGCATGGGAGATGAGAACCAACAGGGGGCCCTGGGAGCTGTAGTTCCTTGGTTAGCTTCCTGCCTATAGAGCCAGCCCTGGAGCAGGGAAAGAACTACATTTCCCAGCATTCCCTTGGCCACTACCAACAGAAAAGAGGGGGAGGGAGTGAGGAAGCTGAGATCTCATGCTGCAGCCTGCTGTGAATGGAGAGCTGC